ATTTGCTAAAAATAAATGTTCATATATTGATATAGAGTGGATTATAAGGCAGTAATGATTGCAGAAAAAAGCTAATGAACATATTTCCACATTTATTATTTTTTCATATGTTTGAGAAAGTGAATTTGAATTAGCAGTGGCTATAATTGCTGGTTGACTTTGGCTGCCTCACAGTCCCAGAATTCATTGGGAAAAATCCCAGAGGTTCTGCTGAATCAACCGCCATGCAAATTAAACACAATTACTTTCACTCTGCTTGAGCGAAATGCAGTCATTCGTGTTCCCTGCTCTCTAAGTGGAAAGTAAGGGAATTATTCTAACAAGATGTCATCTGAGAAAAACTATTTCGTAGTCTAAATGTTCATAGTTAAAAAGTCTTACAAAATGTTCTTGACTCTGAAGAAGCCATTACTGTTATATAACATAATTTTCAGAGAAGTGAGAAATCTGAATTACTCAACATTTTAAATCCGCATTTTATGTTTTAGATGATGAGTTGAGATGTTAAAATGACAGATTAACAATTACCATATTTTTAATTAGGGATTGTTACAGTGATAACCTCCACGTGACTGTGTGATCAAGAGGGCATCAGGATGGAGGCCCCTCTGGTGTGCCTGGATGAGGAATTCGAGGATCTGCGGCCCTGCAAGATGGAGGAGATTGAATTCGAGCAGCCTGCCTGCCGGCCTCACAAAATCATTCCTCTGGCCCCACTGTGCCGCGAAGAGTTCTCAGAGCTGGAGAACTTCTCTGAGATGATGAGCTTCAAGTCCATGGAGGACCTCGTCAATGAATTTGACGAGAAGCTGAACGTGTGCTTCCACAATTACAACACCAAGACAGAAGTTCTGGCACCTGTTCGCAACCAATCGCACACCGAGGAGGACGAGGAGAGGCTTCAAGATGAAGAGTAAGATCTTTTCTGTTCCACTTCTAGTAAATACATGTAGGTAGAGGAATGAAATTTGATGCAATTAGTCTCATGTTTTTGCACCACTAAAAAAGTAGCATGGATACTGTTATGACTGTGCTGATGAATATGCCCATCCAGTTGGCTGTCTCTCTGCCAACCAAAAGTGAGGACATGTCTGACATCCTTGCCAACTGGCCTGCCAATCAAATTGTATAAAAACACCCTTTGTCCATCACCAGCGCCTGTCTGTGTGCGTGTGTCCACGGTTTGGCTGTGAATTATTCAGCAAATTTTTATACGCCTCAGTGCTTTTCTTTGTCCTGACTTGTCTGTGCTGGCAGCCTGTCACCATCCTCTCTCTGCCGTCAAATCTGCCTCTCGCAAAATAGGACAAAAAAAAAATCCCTTGCTCTAAATATAG